GTTCTGTGTGCATAAATAAATCTTTCAAAAAATCACATCTGCAAGTGCAGTTAAAGGAGATGCCAGTACAACCCACACACCATCATCCCTCCCGACACTCCCCCTGCCCGGCCCATCCCTCCACTCAGGGGTCCCACTGCTTACTCTTGACATTTGAGATGGATACTTCTTAGCTGTGGGCAGTTCTGGGCACTGTGGGGACTGGGCAGCATCCATGGCCCCACCCACTGGATGCCAGGAGCACCTCTGGTGTGACAACCACAGGAGTCCGAAACATGCCCAATATCCCCTAGGGATAGACTGAGCCCTCCTGTGACCCCCTGGGTGAGGGGGTTCCACTGACTGCAGGAGCCCAGGCTTCCATTATTGAACCTGGTTGCTACACACCTTGAAATGCACACGTTGGGCAAATGTGGGGGAGGTGACTCCCCAGCCCTGGAGAGCATCCTGATTTACACTATGTGACCCATCAAGGATTTGTTCTATCCAGAGATGGAACTCAAGTTTTGTTTTTTTTAATGAAAGATTTATTTATCCATGCATACAGAACTGGGATACAGGCCAGAGGTGCAGGGGCAGCAAGAAGATTCATCAGAGACAGAGCGGGGAGCAGAAAACAGGCAGATCGAGGAAGTACACTGCTCAGGGGAGCAGCGGGTGGGTCAGGAGAGGTCTGCAGTGCCCTGTGGGTCAACTCCAGGACGGTGATCGAACAGGCATTAAAGAGGCTGTGGCAGCTTGCAGTGCTGTGCCCTAACCCATTGTGCCACCAGGGAGGGCCCGGAACTCAAGTTTTTTCAGATAATCAACACGGGTCTCTCCCTGTCAGCACTGCTAACATGGGTGCTCATTCTTTAGGGGGGCTGTCAGGGAACTGTGGGCGCTTGAGCAGCATCTGACTCCTCCGCTCACCAACACACCAGGAGTGACCCCAGTGGGTCAACCACGAATGTCTACAGGTGTGTAGATGTGGGTAACAAAGCCACTGTGACTGGGAAGCACCATGGCCAGGCCTGGCCCCCATGTCTTATTCGGCGGGCCTGGGGTTGTCCTAGAATCCACATTCTTTAAAGACCCCAGGTTGCTTGCCAGGGATCTGTCTTGAAGACCCACGGCTTTCACCCCACCACTCTGGGGTCTGGAGCCAGACTCATTCCTCCTGATGGTGAGAAGCCAGGAGCAGTGGGTCCGGGTGTTTGGGGACGTGTTCAGATAAGCTCAGCTGCCTTCCCTCCTGAAGCTGGGGATTCAAGTCATGCTGTCTCTGGTCAGTAGGTGGAGACAGTGCTTGCCTGGTGCTTGGCCTCTCTCTATATGGGCAACCCCATCTGTCTTTTCCAAACTACGATAACGACTCTTCACGTGCACTGAGGGGTCACTCTGGATGAGGCAATGGGGCCCGCAATGCACAAAATCTCTGTCCTCACACCTAGGGCACTCTAGAGACAGAACAATAAATAACCTGCCACCAGGTAATATAAGTATTCCAAATACAATCAATAAAGGGTAGGACAGACGACCATAGGAATTACTTGAAATGGGCATCCCCTGCCCCAGTGTGCCAGTCCCCAGTCCCAGAGCTCTGGGAATAACCGGTTGGGACTGAGTGTACCCCATGGCCTTTCCTTGCTGACATAGGGGGTCATTTCCAGGCTGGCCCACTCAGGATCAATTTGACAGTCTCCCTAGCTGGTCAGCTTCATTTAGGGCTGTGTTAGAGTGAAGTAGACAGCTGGACAGATGTTGGGGTGTCGGGGGGGCCAGCACATATACTAAGCATAAATATCAGGTAATGGAAAGAGCATTGGATGCAGTGAAAGAGAGTGGGGTGATCAGGGATTGCATTGCTTCCCCATCTTTATTTTTAAATATTTAATTGTTTAAAAAATTTTATTTGTTTATGCACATAAGAGCTAGGGTGTAGGCCAGAGATGTGGGGGTGAGGAGTCCCCAGAGACAATGTGGGGAGCAGAACAGGTAGATCGACTGAAATACACTGCCAAGGGGAGCTGTAGGTGCGACAGGCGGGGTCTGCTGCGCCCTGGGGGTCACTTCCTGGCCGGGGATCGAACTGGTGCTGCAGGGGCTGCGGACAGCTTGATAGTGTTGAAACTTAACTGCTTGTACCACCAGAGAAGCCCCTTGCTTGCCCACCTTAAAAATGAGGATACTCGGGCCCTCCTGGTGGCGCAGCGGGTTAAAGCACAGCACTGAGAATCTAAAGCTGCTTCTGCATGAGTTCGATTCCTGCCTGCCCCGGAGGTGACCACATGGTGTGGCAGACCTCTCCTGACCCGCCAGCTGCTCCCCTTAGCAGTGTACTTCGTTGATCTGCCTGTTCTGTTTCCCACTCTGTCTCTGGTGAAGCCTCCCACCGCCCCTGAGCCTCTGGCCTGTATCCCAGCTCTGTATGCACAAAATAAATCTTTAAAAAAAAAAAAAAAAAAAAAAAAAGAGGATACTCAGGGCCTCCCTGGTGGTGCAAGGGGTTACAGCACAGCACTGTGAATCTGTTTGCAGCCACTGCTGCGCGAGTTCAATCCCTGGCCTGGAAGCTGACCCACAGGGGCACAGCAGATCTCTCCTGTCTCCCCACTGCTCCCCTCAGCAGTGTGTTTCCGTGGATCTGCCTGTTATGCTCCCTGCTCTGTCTCTGGTGAATCCACTCACCTCCCACCCTGCACCTCTGGCCTGTACCCAGTTCTTAAATGCATACATAAAATCTTTAAAAAAAGAAATAAAATGGGGATACTCACAGTACTGCTCCGTAGAGTTATTGAGAGGACTAAGTGATAAAGAATGCTAGGCCAGGGTCCGCTTCCAAAGAAACTCAGAAAATATTAACCATTATTAATTAATATCATTAGTCTCAGTCTCTGGAACACAGGAAAGCAGAGAACCAGGTGGTTATAATGTGTGCAATGAAAGATTAAGAGGTTGAGTTTTATACCTTTGGGACACTAGAATTTACTTTTCAGAAATTAAAGTTTTCCTGCCTGGGGGGAAATGATAAATGCTTGATGGTGGACTAGGGGGTGTGTATAGACACATGTGAGTGCGTACATGTGCAATCATCTGCCTTCTCTGGGTAGGTGCAAGCAGCCCCCACCCCGTTTCCAGAAAGAGCTTGGTCTGAGGATGGCTACAGAAGTGGGAAACACCTGGGGCCCATAAAACTCCTGCAGCAGCCACAGAAAGTCAACAGGGTGAGGAGCAGACACCAGCCTGCTCAGCCTGGCACTGAGAAGGTTGCTTTGGCCCCGAGCCCGTGCAGACAGGGAGGGCCCTGGCCAGCAAGCATCCCTCAGACTTGTTTGTATGCAACGGTTCATCCTGGTTCCTGTTGCTGCTGCTTTTTTTTTTTTTTAGGCATTTAAAAAATACAGGTTTATTAGTGAAAGGAGAAAGTAAAAGAGAGGCAACTATGTAACTATATAGTTAGGAGGGCAGAAAGCTGCTGCTGCTGCTGCTTTACAAAGGGAAGAGGTTTGCAAAAGAGACTGACTCTGGCTCTGGCTGACTCCAGGGAATGAGCTTTCTTTCTTTTTTTAAAAGATTTATTTTATTTATGTACAAAGAACTGGGGTACAGGCCAAAGGTGCAGGGGTGATGAGAGGATTCACCAGAGGTAGAGTGGGGAACAGAACAGGCAGATCTACTGAAATCCACTGCTGAGGGGAGCAGCGGGTAGGCCAGGAGAGGTCCGCTGCGCCATGTGGGTCAGCTCCCGGGCGGGAGATTGAACTTGCACTGAAGAGGCTGTGGCCTGCTTGCAGGGCTGCATCCCAACCTGTTGCGCCACCAGGGAGGGCTCAGAACTGCCTGTTCTGTGCCCCACTCTGGTGAATCCTCTCACCCCTCCCAAACTTCAGGTCTACACCCCAGTTCTTGTATGCGTAAATAAATCTTTTTTCTTTTAAAGGAAGAAAGAAATAATAAAAGTATACATTGAGTTTTTATTTAGAAAATTGAAAAGTGACAAGCTAAAAGCAACAAAATGGCTTCCTGGGGCTTTTAACACTGAACAGATGGAGACATCAGGCTTGGCTTGTGATCTAAAGGGAGAGCCACATGGCGATGGACTTTGCTACAGGTGGAGGATCTGGGGGAGAACCCTGAAGAATGGATATTTGACAGATTTTGCAGGAGGGGAGCAAAGAGAAAAATGAATTTAATTTTCCAACTTCAAGGCCATTTTAAAGCTGAATTTTCCTTTTTTTTTTTAAAGTTTTGCTTATTTATGCAAACGAGAGCTGAGATGTAGGCTGGGGGTGGGGGTGAGAGGATTCACCAGAGTGGGGAGCAAAACAGGTGGATCTACTGAGAAACACTGCTGAGGGGAGCAGCACAGAGGCTGGAGAGGTCTGTCATGCGTTGTGGGTCCCTCCCTGGCAGGGGATCGAACTCCTGCTGCAGTGGCTGCAGCCAGCTTCACAGAGCTGAGGGAACCCCTTGTGCTGCCAGGGAGGCCCTGAATTTTCCTCATGACTTAGCTTTGGGGTGAAGCCAGGATTTCCCGACCTCTGCTATGTGGACATTTAAGGCCCAATGTTTTGGGAACTGTCCTGGGCACTGAGGGGTGGTAAGCGGCATTCCTGTCTTCTGGCTTTAATGCCAGGAGACACTCCCGTCTTGACAACGGCAGATGTCCTGAAACATCACCCTGTCCCCTGGGTGGGGTGTGGTCAGAGGCAAACGGCTGAGACTCGCTAGGTTAAACCTGCCTCAGTTTCCCCATTTTGCCGATTTCCCACAGGGCCACCGAAGCTTCCGACTTCTCCTGGCTATCGCGCGGGGTCTCGAACTCCAAGCGCTCAGCCCGCCGGGTTCTCCCGCCCGCCCGCGCTCGAACTCAGAGAGGGGCGGGGCAGACGGCCGCGCGCGCGGCGTTATAGGGGTTGTAGTCCCGGCCCCGCCTCCGCCTCGCGCCGCCCCCGCCCCTGGAACTACGCTCCCGTCGTGCCCCGCGGCCGGGCGGAGGCGGGGCCGGCGGGCGGTTGCTAAGACTTGCTGAGTCGCCGCGTTCGCGCCGGTCTTCCCAGGTAAGCTCGTGGCCGTGGGCTGTCGCGTACTCGCGGCCCCAGCGCCGTGTCGCGTTCTCGCAGGAGCGATGACGGCGGCCTCAGCTGCCAGGCGCCGGCCGCGCGGAGCGAGGGGCGGC